TTTTTTGTAATTTATCGTTTCTTCAATTTTTATGATTTCTATATTTTTTTGTAAATTTTCTATCTGCTTCTTGTTTTTTTTTGTAATTTATATAATTTTCTTCATTTTATGTGTTTTTCATAATGATTTTGCAATGACATATATACAATGGGAAAAAAAGTAGAAAGTTGAGGGTAAAGTTGGAAAGTAAAATCAGGGTGTTTTGACCAAACCAATTGCAACATTCTCATTTTTTAGTATGGTATATATAGAAATTTCTATGATTTTCTATATTTTTTGTAAATTTTCTATGTATTTTTTTTCCTTTTTGTAATTTATATTGTTTTCTTCATTTTATGTTTTTCATAATTATTTTGCAATGACAATATATACAATGGGGATAAAATAGAAAGTTGAGGGTAAAGTTGGAAAGTAAAATTGGGTGTTTTGACTAAACCAATTGCAACATTCTCATTTTTAGTATGGTATTAAAATTTTTATGATTTTCTATATTTTTGTGTATTTTTTTTTTGTTTTTTTTTGTAATTTATATTGTTTTCTTCATTTTGAGGAGAAAGGTGCGTAGGATAAGAGAGACACCATTTCTTACATTGGTAGGGTGTCAGATTACCGGGTTGGCCCGATGATCGTCGAGAAAAAATACCATAAAACGAATCAATATAATGACAAGAGCATTTCTTGATCCAGTACAACTTATTACGTTAACGCAAACAATTGAAAAAAAAAACAGGGAGAAAACCAAATAAAGAAAAGCTTCATTTAATCATCTAATCGATAGCTCCATGATGAAAAAAGAGAGGTTGAAAAGATCCATTCCTCCCTTCAATTCAAATTCGTGATTTGGGCAAACCATCTGATACTTGACACGTGTTGGCTCTAATCAATGAAGAGGTTTGTTAGGTAGGTGTTTCAGGAGAAGATCAGATAAGGTGAAGAATAGGTTCCACAATAGTCTTATTATTATTTTATTTGCTTTATCCAATTACAAGTGTTAACCATTAATGAAATAAAATAAAATAACAAAGGGTAAAAATGGAAAGTGAAAATCAAGCTTTAAAATATAAAAAAAAAACATGATAAAGGGTAAAAATGGAAAGTGAAAATTAGGCTTTTTGATGAAACACCGTCACCATCCTCATTCTTATTTTTATAAATGGTACAAAGATTATCAAATTACAAGTGTTAACAATTAATTAAATAAAATTGGAAAAATAAAAAACATAATAATATAAAGGGTGAAAGCGAAATGTGAAAATAAGCTTTGAAATAAAAAAGCATGATAAAGGTAAAAATGGAAAGTAAAAATTCAGGCATTTTGACTAAACATTATCACCATCCTCATTTTTATAAATGGTACAGATTAAAGAGCGGGAATGAGATTCCTATTCGGAGGGGTGGGTCGGGAATGGCCATTCCCTCAAATGGGGGATTGTCATTCCGCCCGAAATGGGAATCGGATTCCAATTTTGCCCAACCAAATGCCTAGAATCGGAATTCCGATTCTAGACCTCTATTCCTACGAACCAAATGAACCCTAACATTTTATATTGCTATAGTCTGGGCTCATTCAAATTTTGACAAAAGCCCAACCCAAGTCCATTCAAATTGCCACTCCGAATCTGCTACCCAAAAATTGTTCCTACATCCCTATTCACAAAGCACCACAACTGTATATTAGAAACATTTTCAATGTATAACAAATGAGATATTCCAAATACACAGCTACTGTAATGTATTGTGGGTAAAGATGTGAGAACAGCTTGTGGGTAGCATATCCAAGCCCCCAAATTGCACCTCTAATCACAGCAGAGATGAATAAAAAAAAAAGGATGAGCTCCCCACAAAGCACACCCCACAGCACATGCTAACCATGTATTGAAAACATCTCCAGCGCTGAGATGTAGCCAAGGACCATCTAATGTGTGCCAAAAAATAAATTTATGTATAGTGTATTTTATAAAATTGGGCTATACATAGTAAAATATAAAACTGCAATAGTCATAAGAAACCCTAAAACTTTTATGCCTCTTATTTTTTACTAAAAAGAAAGAAACCTTTAAACTTTACCAGTCCATCCAGGCCCCAAGCCCAGGCTAAATTGTGTTTGGGTTTAGTCGAGGGGAACCAACTCACCACTGGTTCGGCCAGCCTAGGCCAGCCCAGCCTGCCCGAGTTGCATTTATGTTATTTTTGTTGTCTCAAAATCTTAAGAAGCAAGTGTCATAAATATTGGCAAACACCTCTTAAACTGTGTTGGGTTTGAAAGAAAACATAGGGAAAGGTAGGGGAACCTGTACAAAGTACAAACCCTGTATGGGTTCCCCTACCTTACCCTTTTTCTCCAAACAGTCTTAAGCCTCCATTTTGTTCATCGTACAAATCCAAACATCCATTTTCTTGTACTCAAGATTTGCATTCTTACCCAATGCAAAATTTACACTCATTGGCGATGCAAATTTTGCATCTCAAAGTGAGAAGCACATCATTCCATTTCTTATTTTATTCAGTTCCAAAGAAGCAATTTTGCTCCCACTTTCATTTTTCTCTCATGTAAAATGGGGATTACATCATTTTGCTTTCTATTTTAAGCAAACAGAATATAAGATGCATGGAATCAAAAAGTGTGGTATAGATCAATCCACACCACGTCTATAGAACACCATTGTGAATGTAGATTGATTCAGTCCACATATGTCCACAATTTAGAACAACTGTAAATTATGATGTGGTGTGGATTGGTCATTGCCCAAAGTGTAGTATGGGCTAGTCCATACCTACCAAAAAAATAAAAAGACTAATTCACACCCACCAATTTTTCAACCACATTATAAAACACATCCTAAATCATCCCTGTATTATGCTTATAAATCCACAAACCTTTCTTTTCTTATGAACTGTGGCTTCATTTCTAATGAATACTAAACAACTTGTGAGGGCCCTGATGGGAGGATGATGGATCAACATACAGACTCCAAACCGACCTAGGCCCATAAGTTTTAGACCCAGAACTGATCCCAATATTGAATAGGTTTTTGAGTCAAACCCGATAAGATCCCATTATACGTAGACAATAAACTTGTAATTCTCTTGCTTTGTATCCTTTACAAAATGATAGTTTTAACCTCGAATCAAATTTACTGGTGAGTTCGGGTCCGGTTGTTGGGTTGACCCGGACCATAGACATAATATGTCATCTCCCTTGTCTCATGGACTTGCTAGAAGCTAGAAGCCTTGAAAGCTAGCTAGTTGGTCCACAAGACCACAACCACAACCAAAGCATTGTCGAATTGTTTCAACTGTTACGTAGTTACAATTCTAGGTTTGGCTTTCTTAAAATTCGGGATTTGAGAAAAAACCATTGATGTAATGATGTAATTAAATCCTTTTCGACTTGGGTGACTGAGCTGTTAACCCACTCGGTCAGTCACCGAGTCACAGATTACACACTATATCTATATGTATATACAAATTCCTCAAGGCCATGTTCATCATTTGTACAATTAAGGTGATCTTTATATTAATTTCGGATAAATCTTTTTTTGCTTCAAATATCATTTTTTAAAAATTTTATAAATAAAAAATTTTAAACTGAAAATATAAATAATCATATATATATATATATATATAGATACACATACATACACATTACTATTAATTATTAAGTGTGAAAATTTTATTTAACTAAAATGCCCTTATCTTTTTTATTTGGTTTCTCTCTAATTGTGAGGGCATAATGAATTCTATCATTAAATCCTATATTTGAACTAAATTTTACACTAATGAATTCTATCATTATTTTCTTTGTTTCAAATAAAGTATGTCATCTATATCCAATACTTTTAGCAATTAATATAAAATCCATGTTTAAAACCAAACCAAAACTGACACTGTTATTCCATCTTGATGGTGGATATTAATTCAACCATCCAAATTAAATGGGTTAACCCATTATGTCATAGTTAAAATAATAAAAACTTTTAAATTAGAAATAAATACAAAAATTACAAAAACTAACAATATTAAAAAAGGGCACATCTCTAATATTTTATATCAATCATATTAAAGAAAAACACACATCATAAACAATAAATGTTTTTATTAATGTTGGAAATGAAAGGCAAGATTTAAAATCAACCAAAAAAAAATGAAATTGTGTTCCTATTTGGTGGTGGATCAACAGTTCAAAATTAAAAATACAAAAGTTCACTAGTATTTTATATTAATCATATTAAATACAAATAAGTGTGATAAACAAGAATTGTTTTTACTGATGATGAAAATGAAATACAAAGTACAAAGGTGATGCAAAAATTAAATTGTTTTCCTATCTAGTAGAGGGTCAACAATTTAATCTTTTTGGGGCAACTATGTAACCCTTGATATCATAATTAAATAATAAAAATATAAAATTAGATAAAAACACAAAAAATATGAAAATTGTAAAAAAAAATTGTAGAAAAACATTTGGGTACATCTTTAATATTATATATTCATTATATCAAACAAAAAAAAGAAATAAAAAAATTTGGTTCAACCTTTTAGTTCATATGTGTTAACCCTTGATGTCACAATTATAAAATAAAAATTAAAACATAAAATAAATAAATTTTATCAAAAAACGTTTAGACACATCTCTAATATCATATATTCATCATAATAAACAAAAATAAGTGATAAATAATAATTATTTTATATACAAATATATAAAAAAATTATTGAAAGTTTTAATTCACTTACTACTATACATGTACTAATATACATAAATCTCACTTCGGCCCGAACGATTGAACCCGTGATCTGCGAGCCGGAGGCAAAAAAAGGGTTCGCCCTTTGGGTCGATTTTTTTAAAAAGGTAAAGACTTAAGAGGGACAAAAGAGGAGAAAAGTCCTATGCCATGCCTTTGTCGTGTCCGTGGTCCGTAGCAAAGGTACTTGTTATATCAGATTATCAGTAAATCTTTCGCCTCTCAATTTCTCCTCCTCCTTTGCATTATTCGTCCCACACACACACACCAAATACCAGGGTCAAATTTCAAACCTCTCTTTCTCTTTTCTCCCACCAACTCTCTACCCAGAACAGATTCCACTTCCATAGCTCCAGAGTCTAGACTCACTACTCACTAGTCTTCTCAATTGTCGCCATGGAGAAGATGCCACAGGTGAAGAAGGAAAATGATCAGCTTCTTCCTGCTCAGCCTATCCTAGCAGCAGCAAGCGTTTATAGGTCTCCCTTTGCACAGCTGAAGCTGGCCGCCATTGCTATCAGTCTAAATATACGTCTGAGATCCGCCGATATGCCGGCAAACATGCAGGAGCGGGCGTTTCGATACACCAAATCACTCGTCGATGCGGCTCCCAACAGCCGACCCAATCCCACCCACATAGCTCGCGCTCTGAAGAAGGTGAGAGTTCGTTGCCTCCATCCCTCCCTTCTTTTCCAGTACCAGAAGATGCAGAGTTTTAGGCTTTTAGCTAGGTAGAGATGGTTGACAGTTACCCATGATCGAGCTTACGACTCACTGGCTATTGAGTCGAGGCTAAGCGATTCCGCTAACAGAACGGAAGCTGGGTTTTTGTTTTTGCAGGAGTTTGACTCGTCGTACGGCTTGGCGTGGCATTGTGTAGTGGGAACGAGTTTTGGATCGTTCGTGACTCACTCACCTGGGGGATTTGTCTACTTCTCTCATGGCTCGCTCTCCATTCTCCTCTTCAAAACCGAGGTTCGACCTGTCATGGAAATGGCGCCCCCTCATTGATGAAGAAAATAATGGGTCAAGAGAAAACGACTTGTTATTCCTTTGTTGGTATCCAATCCTGCTTTAACTTTTATCTCTCTTCACTGAGTTCTGTGTTCCTGTTCCAACATTTGATCTTCAGTCTTAAGAATTCTCCTTTCATCCTTGATCCCGACCGTTCAAGAACAAAGTTCTCTGGTCAATTTCATCGTTGAGACTCGAGAGAGAGAGAGAAAAGAGAATTTTGCGTTTTTTTTTTATGACGATGGGATGTAACGATTCGCTTCATCACTGTGTTCAAGAATCTATAATTCTGTGTTTGTATTTTTCCACACGCAAATCGGACTGCATGCAGCAGGAGCATTCAACCCATGAAGATTTTCATTTGAGAGCGTTTTGTTTTCAAAATTTTGTTTGGCAATAATAATTTCCCTCCTGCCAAAAATTTTTAGTTTCTTGATTTAGGAGAGAGACTGACGCACTGAGTACAAGTACGAGTAGCATCGGAAAATGTTCCATCACTCATTACACTGTTTCGTTGAAGCCTTGAACTTGAAGGAGCTTTCTCTCCATTTCATCATTTCACGCCATCTCCATCTTTCGTTTTGCAAATTGCAAATTTGGGTGGAGTTATCTGCTCCTTAATTTTCACCACGTATATGCAACACCTTTTGCCACATGGACACTGGTTTGTGGTGCCATTTGACCTATGGCAGCTGTTGACACTTGGTCTTTCGAATAAAGCAGCCATCTGATGTGAACAGCAATTTTGGTGCAAAGGTTTAGGGATGGTCGAACCGGGTGACCTGATTCAGCTTACCCAATCAGGTATGATATATACTAATTGCGCCCCCTCTTATTGATCTCTGGGTTTGGTAAAAGCATTACTTCCAACCAAGTATTGGGCGTATTGTAGTAAAACACACTTAAAAAATATCTTCAAAAATCAAATTTTGAAAAAAAAAACATTATACGGTGACTTTTTGGTATCGATACACCCCTGCCGATACACAAGGGTGTATCAATATTTTGAACCTTGCTTTCAACATCCCCGACTACTTAAAAAGATTTCAATTTAGTGCCAACAAGAAAGTTAATAAGAGTGGATATAGATATAATATACTATGACAACACTTTTTTTTTTTTCTTATACACATTTCATTTACAGAGCTGATTTAATTGTGGTCTTTTTGGACATCATGATAGATTAAAATACTTATCAAATGGTCTAGATTTTTGAAAAAAAGACCCTGAAAGCTCATTATAGCCTCGTTTGGAGCATCTTTCCGCATGGTTTATTGGCTATTTACAAGTCGACAGACTGTGATTTGATCTTTTTTCATTTGATTTGCAGTAGATCTAAATGTCAAAAGATAGCATCCCAAAAAGAGACGCCTGTTTTTGGTTGATTTCAATATGCTCTAAATGGAGCTTTTCAGTATCTTTCCATTTGTCTTTGCACGAAAAGATACATCTGAATTAAACAATATTCTTTCAAAACTACCAGAAGATATTCCCAAAAAAACTTACCAAACGGCCCCTCTTTTGGCTATCTAATCTGTTGGAAGATTTTCCTATAAAAGAGCTTTTTCCAAGCTGGCTCAGATATTGAGCCATGAACCTGGTATCGCCTTGAGTCCTCACCAAGGTTGGGTGAATTTGTGTGTGTGGGGTGGGGGGTGGTATTGGATTTGGAAGACAGATTAATCCATGTGATCCACCAAATCCATCCATTATGGATTAAACATGGATTAATATCGAGGTGTTGAAGTCATATAATGTTGGGATTCATGTATAACCAATGTATGTCATTGAAAACTGAAAAGGAATTAGAGGTACAAGAACCCATAATCCAATAGCTTAGGCTTGTGGGTTTTAAAAAGTGTCCATGTCTTGTGTGTAAGTCCTCAATGTACCTAGTTGTCACAAGTAAAAGTTGAGGCTGTAGCGCAACCCTAAAAATCAGCAATACAGATATAAGACAGAGAGAAAAGGAAGACAAGATAAATTGAAATTCAAACCGTCCGAAGTAGAAGAAAGAGCCTCTGCTTGATTAACCTCACGATAATTGTACCTTTTGTTTTTCTTTACAATGTCACATACATAACTTGAGTTAATCAAGTCTACAATCTATGAATCTGAATTTCACAGTTTTTTTCGGAGTATATTTTCATATTGTGCCCATCTTCTGTTTCATTTCTTTCTCTAACATGCTTTTAATCCCTTCGTGCTGAATCAATCTTCAGATATTAGAAAGGGAAAATTTCTGATCAATACCCTGTACTTTGGTTTGAGTGACAATTTGGCCCCCCAAACGTTATAATGTGACAATTCAGTACCAAAACTTTTAAAACGTGACAATCCAGTGGCTGCCATTAACTAGTCCATTAATCAGCCATTGAGTGCCATTTGAAAAGACACAAATTCCCTTCGAGTACCATCTAATTCTTTTTATCAACCATCCAAACATTGGCAAAAAATAAACCCTCCCAAATCTTAGCTTCTTCTATTAAAAAAAGTTGGTGATTGTTTAGAATAAACTAGAATTTGGGACTGTCCATTTTTTGTTAATGTTTAGATGGTTGATAAAGAGAATTAGATGACACTTGAAGGTTATTTGTGTCTTTTCGAATGTTACTTAACAGCAAGTACTGAATTGTCACATTTTGAAAGTTTGTGTATTGGATTGTCACGTTTTGAAAATTCAGGTGCTAGCTTATTGTATTTTAATGTTTGAGACTAAATTGTCACTCAAGCCAAAGTACAGGGTACTGATCAGGAATTTACCCTATTAGAAATAACTTGTCTATCTCCATTGTTGTTATACTGGGATTAGACATAAAACCATTTTGGTCACTGGATTTTGGTAAACAATTGATTGTTCACCTTGACTGTTCAAATTCATTTAAATAAAAATATAAAATAATAAATAATTCTACTAATGTCTTACACTCTTACCATTGGTTATAACTTGTAATTGATACTAAAGCATGCACTTGTCGTGGATCATTAAGGGAATGTTCTTTTTTTGGATTTTGAGAGGAGGAAAAGTTGGTCAATGGAATTTTAATTCCTATTGACCAAGAATCCCATGTTCATTTTTTAGATTTTTGTGGGGACCAGGGAAAGTTTATTTTCCTGGGTACCATTTACCCGGGTAAGTAATACCCATTTCTTAGGTGGATAAATAACTTTCCCACCTAGAGGGAAAGTTGCCAAAACTTAAATGGGACAAAAATACCCTTTTTAATAATGGATTTTTATGGCTAAAATGATAATTGCCTTATTTATATGAAAAATAAAAGAACATGGATAAATGCCCTTACCTAGGTAAGTGGGAAGGTAACTACATTTACCCGAATAAGTAACTTACCGAAAAGCGAACAATACATTTGGGAGAACTTCAACTTTAGTTGAGTTGTGATGATTAAGCTACTAAAACTAGTTTCATGGCAAAGTTATTCCCATGATCAAATGAAAGCGTATCGAGGCTTTCAGGGTTTTTCACCATACATATCTTCTTGGTTTCTCATGTAAGATCTAACTTGTAAAGCTAGAAGCTGTTAATTGAAAGCCCTCCAAAACAGGCACTAAGTCAAAAATCAAAATTTGTAGGGGGACAGACTAAACATGCTTTTACTGTCGGTTCCCAATTTTGATGGTCCATCTACTAGTCTAATCCCATTCTGACAACAGTGATCTGGATATACTTTAGGCGACCACTTGATATATGCCTAAGTAAAGGTCTATTTACGTGTTTTTCAGGGTCACCATCTAATGGACTGCATGTACCCATCGGATTCGATTTGGATATCCTATAATACTTTGAATCATGTTTTTAAAAATCCGATGAATTTTTATCGGATTCGAATCAGTCAGATTTTTTTAATGGATCAGATCAGATATACCCTTATCGAATCCAATCCAATTTGTTCTGCTGGACAACCTTTTCTGTAATTTGGTGCCATCGGTATCCTATTTAGATATTTTCATGGCAATAATACAACTAGAAACCCCTTTCCCTAACCATCGTGCCTAGTAATTAAGTTTTCTCTAAAAACTTTTCATAGTTTTATTTAGTGATGGAGTCAATTGGGTTAGTACAGTATACAGCAGTGTTTTTGAATTGGACGGTTGGATCGTTTGACCCGGGATCCGTTCAGGTGGTCACTAATCCACTGATCCGAGTGGTCGAACCATCGATTTATTCAACGGTTTTAGTTATTTTTATTTTAATTATTTTTTATTTTTTATTTTTTAAGTTGGAATTGACCGCCCATTCAAACTATAGAGTCAAGCCATAAACCTGAAAACCAGTGGCCAGAATAGTTCTTATTGGAAAAATAGTAAAGAAGGCAGAATGGAACTTATCGACAATCGCTTTCCAAACAGGAATTTGTAGGAGTGTGATGTTGCAGAATTACAAAACTAAGAAGTTGCAAAGAAAAGGAGGGCTGAGTTGTGCCACTTGGTCCCTTTCCTTAAAATCGCATTTACCCCCTTTAGTGCATCCAGGTGATTGCAAATTGGTCACCAAGATAAAACAACTCATATACCATTGGTAGGCGTGCACTTGCTTATTAATCATCTACGAACCACAGAGAAAAATGCTCAAATTGACAGAGAAGACAGTGAAGAGAAGACTGTCAAAAATATAAAATGGTGTGTAGACTGGGCCAACCAACACTCCTTTTATAGAGTATTCTCAGACCAGATAGAGGTGTCCATTCAAACAGGTGCCTCTTCGGAACAGTACATCTATTCGAAGAGACATGAAAAGAAAAAGACACAAACAGGAAAAGAACACCATTAAAAAAATAAATTTGAATTTTAAAATCAAATGATTAATCGGTCAAAAGAGAAAATGTCCAGTGTGGCGCACATATACATTCCCACACCTGCACCCCGACATGGCCCGGACCGGCCCATGTGAAGAGAGTGAATCAAGTTCACCTGCAAGATATGAGAAGCTTATGTATCATTGAAGAGTGATTCCACTAGTGTTCTGTTCCATGATCCGTTTTCATCTATTAAATCTGCGATTTTGAGTTGGTCTTTGGTCCGATCATCTACTGCTGCTCCTTAGGTGTGCCTCCTGCCAGTATGGGTAGCCAGGGATCATGGAAAACATAAACCTCTTGGCCATTCTTTGGCAGCCATACAATTTCTGCC